GCACGGAATCGGTTCTATTGCATTTCCCATGTGTGTCCTCTCATTTAGATGTTAAGTTCCTTCAGGGAAGCAATTCTCCCTCCTGGGCCGCTGCACAATATAGAGACTAGAAAGTTGCATCTACATGGTTGGCAATTCATCCTAACTACACAAGGGAGGAATAAAAGAAAAAATGACATCAACGATTTCCTCTAATCAAGCAGTCTCTGAATAAGCATGATATCTAATTATTAATTAATCTCTTTGTCAAATCCAATCCCTACCCCAAGTCTTACACTGGATGCCTGATTCTAGACCACAGCCATGCTTTGCTTGTCCAGGACATTATTTTAATCATCTTTGAATTTTAATGTTCTTAAGTAGAAACACATAGTCCAGGTTGTGGCTAGCCACATCACCTCCTATTGCCTCACTCAGCCATAGCAGCTGCCTGGACTCTGAAGCCATCAGAGTTTGACCCCCACGCCTCAGGCAGAGCTTAAGTGTGCCTCTTCTGTATAGGCCTGAGGGCCTTACATGGAAAGGGCTGGAAGTAAGGAGACAGGAATCTCACATCTGGGTTGAGAACGAATTAGGAAAAGGAATCAAGGTACTTGGTGCTTGTAGCCAGGAAGCATCACAGAGGTTCAGGCAGAAACTGATTGCAGATGAAATGGGGTCACGTGATGGGCCCTTTGCCTGCTGGTCCTAGAAACTCCTGACCCTCTATCTGGCCAGGCTCACCACCACGTAGCATCGCTCCTTAAGATCTCAACTCATCTGTTAGGAATTACCATGCTGCAATAGTTTCCAAGCTCTAAGAGCATCACCTGGAGAGCTTATTAAAACTTATAATACTGGGCCCCAAACTCAGAATTTCTTTTTTGTTTTTTGAGAGAGACTTTTGTTATAGGGCACATGTGCTCACCAGAGAGATAGAGAGAGACAAAATGAGAGAAATAGAAACAAGAAAGTTGTTTGTACATGGCTACCATCCCTCCCTCCTAGCGGGGGTTTGTACATGCCTACCATCCCTCCCTCCTAGCGGGGATAGCCACACCACAACCCTTTCTCCTCCATTCTCCTCTCAGAATTTTGGGCATGCATGCACACGCACCTGGTATGAGTTTTAAGCTGCTGGGTCTAGGACATGAACTGCAGTCAACCGCATGGGAGTCCAGCGATGTAATCATTACACCCTCTGTTGGTCCCACACCCCAGAGTTTTGATCCAATAGATATGATGAGGACAATAGTTTGTCCACAGGATGCCGAAGCAACACAATGTTCGCTAATGTGGAGGCCACATGGGAAAATCCTAGGTTTGCACCCTGAGGTCTCATAGTGCATGCTGGGCAAGTGCGTATGCCCCTGATCCAGGTTGGCTGAGGTTGGAGTGGATCATGGCATGAAGACCCTGTTGGGGATAACTGTCTCTCTCTCTCTGTCTCTATTTATCTATTTCCCTCTCACATGAAATAAATAAATAAAAATAAATTTAAATAATAATAAAAATAATTTGCTTCCTCACAAGTTTTCCATGCTGCTGAGGCTGCTGTTCTGAGGTGTATGGTTTAAGAATCACCAACCAGCAGTTCTTAGCTTGGCTGCACATTAGAACTACTTTGGGACACTTTTTTTTAATTCACATGTCCAGGCCATACCTCAGATCAATTACAAAAGAATCTCTCAAAGGGTAGAATATAGGAGTTGCATTTTTAAAAACTCCCCTGTTGATTGAAGTACTCAACTAAGGTTAAAAACTTCTAGGCTAGGGGCTCTGGGAAGCCATTAACAGGTCTAAAATACAATGTTTGCTCAAGTACATGAATCTTTGACCAAGGAACTTCAGAAATATATGTGGGAAATGATTGAAGATGATCTCTTACAAAACAGAAAGCTATTCATCTAGCTTAAATGTTCTGTTTCAGAGGTATTTATCACCTTCTTTTCCTAGTCAGACTCAAGTTGAAAGTGCCATTGCTATTGGTGGTTGATGGGACTGGTAGTTGGTGTAATGGCTATGTTGCTGGACTCCCCTATAGTCAACTGCAGTTGAGAAGAATAGAGGAGAAGGGATTGTGGCATGGCCACCCCCCTGGGGTGGGGGATGATTTCTTGCTTTCTGTCTCTCTGTCTCTCTCTTTCTGGCAAGCACAAGCGACCTATAGCAAAAACCCCTCCCAAAAAAATAAGAAGATATTGGTGGTTGCTTTGGAAGATGAATAGATGGTATGAACTAATCTAGGACATGGTGTATCATGGACTTAGGAAATATTGTAGCCTGACTATATACACAAAGTCATTGTCATGGCCCCACTCCATTTCCCACGTAGGGAATTTGAAGCCCTGAACTGGACTCTTGACCCATTTCCTCTCTCTGTTTCTTTTCTTTTCTTCTTTTTTTTTTCTGCTTGTTTTAGAGAGAGAGAGATTTTTCTGTAGGGTGGATGTGCTTGCTGGAGAGAGAGAAAAAAAAAAAAAGGAAAAAATCACCCCCAGAGAGGACGGCCACGCCACAATCCCTTCTCCTCCACCTCTCAGGAGCTCGGGCACACACACACACACACACACACACACACACACCCAGCGTGTTTTAATTCATTGGGTCCGGGACTTGAACCACGGTCGACTACATGGGAGTCCAGTGACATAACCTTTACACCATCTGCTGGTCCCACCTCCCTCGTTTCTAAATAAATGTTGGAGTTTAACATGCTAGGCAAAGTCATATCAGTATCTTAAGCTAATATCAAGCCAAGTCAAACCAAGCAAACAAACCAAAAACAAATCGGAAGCTACCAATCTCTGCTAGTTGTTTCTCTCACTTGTGCCAGACCTGACACCCTGCTCCGCATGGACAGAGAGTCATAAGCCAGCTGCTCATGGACTGTTATTTTCCATGTGCCCAGGTAAAAAGAGGATTTTTATTACCTGCCAGATCAGCATAATGTAAACTAATAAAGCAAGAATTTATAAGTTACACCTGCAAGTAATGAGACTAATATTTTTCTCTCTCTTGAGATAGCACCAAGAGAGTATAAAACCACAGGATGGTTACCTTAGACGACCAGGAGCCCATCAGTGTTGCTAAAGCCCTACATATGCCAGAAATTCCTTCCAAGAAATGGCTTTCAAATCTGCTTTACTTACCACATTTTTGTCCAGACAGAAGCCTCTCTAAGGCACATTTTTTTTTATTATTAATTCGTTCAAATCTGTTTGCTTTACTCTCTCTCCCAGGGTTCTTCATCTAGTAGTTATTAAAGTTTTAAAATGAACCTGTGCTTGTTGAGGAGCAAATATCCATGAATTATATTTAGAGAAGCTTATTGGTTTAAGGATTGCCTTACTGCTACATCTATGCAATGGCCCTGGTCGAATATCTCTGCCATTCCCATTTTGCTCCAATGGACTCTTGGTTGTTCCCAAAATTAAAGTCCCTGAGCGAGGATTAGAATATGACACTATGGTCACCTCTAAAGACGTTCAACTATGAAGACAAAATAATGGAAAATGTAGGAGATTTAGAGATTTAGAAGTGACTCAAAAATTGCGGTGTGCAGCAGTTAGCATAATGGCTATGTCACTGGACTCCCACGTAGTCGACCACGGTTCGTGTCCCGGACCCAGTGGCTTAAAACTCACGCCGGGCGCGTGTGCGTGCGTGCCCAAGATCCCAAGAGGAGAATGGAGGAGAAGGGATTGCGGCATGACCATCCCCCCTGGGGGGTGATTTCTCGCTTTCTGTCTCTATGTCTCTCTCTGTCTGTCTGGCGAGCGCATGCGCCCTACAGTGAAAATCTCTCAAAAAAAAAAAAATTGCGGTGTGATGCCTGCCATGTGATTCCCTGCATTATGAATCAGCAGAGACTCTGGGATATTCCTGCCACACGTGGAGTGGGCACTGACCTTAGGAAGCTGGGCACAGAAACAGAGATAGAAACATACGCAATGAAGACAATGAAGGCAGCAAAGGGACCAAAAATCACATCCCAGAAGTAAGGAACTTTGGAGAAGCATGATAGTTCTCCTTTCAGTGGGGCGAGGAGAGAGATTAGACATGTTTGTATAAACACAATGAGTTCAGCTAGGACTAACATGCAGGTCTTATCTGTGGACAGATTTTGCTTTGAATATTTGTCTTTTCTTATTTCTTAGCTTTTTGCCATCAGGCATATGCACTCATTGTAGAGAGTCAGAAGAGACAGTGAGAGGGAAAGTGAGAATTCACCCCCTCATGGAGGATGGCCACACCACAATCTCTTCTCCTACATTTTCCTCTCAGGATTTTGGGCATGCATGCATACACACTTGTCATGATTTTCAAGCTGCCAGGTCCAGGACTTGAATCACAGTTGGTAATGGGAGAGTCTAGCATTGTAACCACTATGCCACCTGCTGGCCTTATTTCTCTTTTAAAAAATTTTCTTTCTTTTAATTTTTGCCATAGAGTGTGTGCACTTGCTGGAGAGAGAGAGGGAAAATGAGAAATCACCACCACCACCACCACCCCCAGTGGGCACGGCCACGTTACAGTCCCTTCTCCATCCTCCTCCCAGGATTTTGGGCACGCACACACACACGCCTGGTGTGTTTTTCAAGATGTCAGGTCCAGAACTCAACCCACACAGTTGGTTACGTGGGATCCAGCTGCCTTACCTCCACACCATCCACTGGCCCTAAGGTCCAGAACTCAACCCACACAGTTGGTTATGTGGGATCCAGCTGCCTTAACCTCCACACCATCCACTGGCCCTGAATATTTCTTGATCTCAGAACTACCCTGAGATTGAATGGACTCCCTTGAGTGTGTAATGAGTTCACTATCATGGCAAGTGTTCAAGTCTAACATGGAAAACCACAGATCAGTAGTACTACATAGATCATTAAAGCGCTGAACCAAAAGAGGGCCGTCTTTAAAGTACCTTTCACTTGTAAAATTAAAGGCAGACTGCATTAATAACATCAATGGAATAGGGGAGGCATTTTTTAAAAAACAAAAACCAAAACAGTCTAAGACTTATTTTAATGTTTAAGTGTCATGTACCCTCCTCAGTCCTAAGAAAAACCAGCATATTAGAGTACAAAAAGGCCGTCTTCGTCTTCTCTTTCGTGCTGCATGTCATTGAGGACATTCTTATTTTCATCAATGATGTCTAGCCTGTGAGGAAGAAAAGAGAGGCTGATGATGGGAAACAGACCAGAGAAAAAGCCAAATGGATGCTGCTAAGTTACAATACAACTACCTGAAGGTGTTAAGAGTAAAAAGGGCTCAGAGACCATTCAGTTCAACCCTCCCATTTTATAGATGGGAAAACTGAGGTGGGAGGATAAAGGCTTTTGTTAGTCTATCATAATAAAGAGTTTCTTAGAGGGCCAGTAGGAGGCATGATGGTTAAAGCACTGGATTCCCACATGGCCAACCATAGTTCAAGTCCCATACCCAAGGACTTGAAAATCTCACCGGGCACCCAAAATCCCAGGAGGAGAAGGGACTGTGGCATGGCCATCCCCCCTGGGAGGTGATTTCTCACTTTTCCTCTTTCTGTCTCTCTCGGCAAGCATACACGCCCTATGGCAAAAACCTAAATAAATAAACAAAAAGTTTCTTAGCAAAATATAAAATCATGATCCAAATGCATTTATTTACCGAAAGGATCACCAAGGCCATCTCTGTAAGAATAAGGATGGTCACCTTGCTAAGTCTCGGCTTCGCCACACGTTAATGTTTATTTGTTAAGAAATACTGTGGCATGGATGCAATTAGCTAGTGAAGGCCACTTTCATCAAAGGTCTATACATCTTTTCCTTTCCTTCCCAGAAGGTGATAGAAAAGGGCACATACCTAAAATCCTGTAGCAGGTTTTCTTCAAACACTATTTTTGAAAATTCCAAAAAACAAAAAATACTGCTCTCATAGTCTAATTGGGCAGGGGAACCAAATCCCAGGGATAATATTCTATATGTGGTTTTCATTTTCCGTATTACCAACTCTCCTCTCAATGAAGTCCAGTTTAAAGGACCTGAACAAAAAATGTCAAGCAAAGTGTGACAGATCACCTTCTCTCTTTTTATTTTATTTTTATTTTTGCCTACTCTATTTCTAGAAATGCCACCTGCCTCTGTATGTGCCTTTTGGACAGACATGCAGCATCAACCAAGACAGGTTAACGTGAGCTATCTTTTTCACCTCGCATACCGCATCTCTCCCACCAACCCTGTGTTTAATCAGAACACAAGCACAAGTCATTAAACCACTGAATAGTATCTAATCATTTGTAACAGCTTGTACAATCATTACAACAATCAGTCATGCAAGATGAATTACCTTGTGTGTTTCTGCGAACAATAGGTTTTAGCGATTGCCCCTGCAAAGACAAAGCCGCAGTGTGAGTGAGCAGAGTAGTTGTACTAGAAATGGGAACTGCCAGAAGACCAGCACTACCTTATGAAGAGCAGACGCTGGCCGGAGATGAGACCTTCGGGAATGACAAGCAGAAAAAGCCATTCCTTTTCCCAGGTCGAACGCTAGCCTTTTCAGATATCCAAACTGGTCCATCAGTTACAAAGTTGGCCAAACATTGCGGCAGTGGTGTTAAGCTGTTCATTTTGGAGACACTCGCCCACCCAGAATTCAAGTTCTCAGTTGGATTTTAAAACACATTTTCAAAAGACATACACCAAAAAAAAAAAAAGACATACACCAAACTTCCCCGAACTATAACCATGACTTTGCATGAGGTTAACAGCAAGCTTTCAGTAAGCTCTAAATTTCTTTCTGCAGTATTCACCTGCAAAACTAAAGTGCTGAAATATACAGACTCACTACTGTTTAAAATAGCTGACATGGTTACTGGTGTGATCTCCTGACTTACTGCCCTGAAATAGCATTCATTAACGACTATGGAATAATTTGTCTCCTTATTATAATAATGTCAGGTTACCAGGTGTCCTGAGACTACACTTTGTATGAAAACCATAAACCCTGTTTCATAGCTCCTTTTTGCAGTGTTTTAAATTTCATGTGAGTGTGCGTGGCAGTGGGTGGGGATAGAAAAAACCATGGGTCCGCCTGAGAATGTAATAAACACTATGGATCCTGGATCCTGAAAAATGGAGACATGAGCATACACACAGTTTTGCATGTGATTCCAGGACCCTGCATCTTCTCTGAAGCCCAGCTGTGACCTCCAGGTTAAGAAAGCTTGCTTGGGACCAGCACATGCTGAAATGGTTATGTTGCTTGACTTCTACATTGTCAACTGTGGTTCCAGTCCCAGACCAGGTCACTTAAAACTCATGTTGGTCGCATGTGCATTCATGCTCAAGATCCCAAAAGGGGAATGGAGGAGAAGGGATTGTGGCATGGCCATCCCCTCTGAAGGTGTGAGCTCACCAGACAGACAGAGAGAGACCCATAGGCCCTATTTTTATAAGGAGCTGTATAGTCCACGACATTATTTTCTCTTCTGAAATTGACTGTTTTATAGTCTTTCCTCTTTCTTTTCTTCAAGAACAAGTATTATTGCCAATGTCTTAATGCATACTACACTTTCCCAGTCCCACCGGAAAAATGAAAAAAAATTATGGTATCTATAGATACTGAAATATATATATGTATATATACATATACATATATATATACATATATATATATATATACTGCTTGCTTTACAAGAACAGGTTAAAAGACCTGTATCATTCATGGTTTTCTTCCAGAGATAATTGTGACCCAAGGAAGAGGGTAGATGAGGGTTTTCTCGACCCTACAACAATGGCAATAATAATAACAGGACTTTCCATTATGGCAGTAATGAGGATCCGATGAATCAGGCATTGGGACTGGCACAGAGTAAGTGTCCAATAAATGAAGGTGCTCATCTCCTTTTTTTGTTCTTCAAAATACAAACTTGACTAGAATGATAGATAAGTCATTAGCACCTTATGGAGGATGAGTTGGAAACCTGCTACCTCCCTGGTTGGGTTGGGCATGGAGATAGAACTGAGCCTCTTTGGAGAGGGGAGAAAGGAACAAGAAGCAGAGAAAACTCACTATCAGATCCTCCTGGAGTCACCAAGGTGAGTCACCTGGGCTCCATGTCACCTGGTCCAGTCCTCCTTACCTCGCAGAAGAAACGCCGTGAGCAATACCAAGAGTACACATCCCACGGTAGGAGCAATGATCAGTAGCAGGATGAAGTTGTTCCTCTGGTGAGACACATGCAGGGCTGTGGGCTGCAGGATTTAAAGACAAAAAAATAACTGTGTTGTGCGTGTGTGTCCCACTGTCAAATCTCTTTCCTGACCACTGCCTAAATCCTCTGAGCTCTCCCTACCCCAGTGCGGTTCTTGTCATGGCTGACTTAGGCTTCTAGAGAAAACAGGATTAAAGGGAAAACAGAGCTCGATTTCGAGTTCTCTATAGCTGTGGCTCTCAAAGTGGAGAGAACCCATGAGATCCAATTGATTTTTATGAGGCATTATTTGCCATTTCCACTGCCTTCTCTCCTGAGCTAGAGCTGCAGTTGCCCAGAGGTCATGTGACATGTGATCACTCTCCCTTACACCCACCGTGCAGAGCGGATATGAAAATCGCTCCTAGTAAGCCACATACTTATGGGGTTTGCAAAAATGTAAAACAGTGCCATTTTTCTCATGAACTTTCTTTTTTCATTTCAATAAATATAGTTAGCTATCACAAACATGCTTGTTTCGTCTTTAGCTTTTTGCCATAGGGCACATGAACTCACTGGAGACCGAGTAGGAAAATGAGAAATTGTCACACCACAATCCCTTCTCTTCCATTCTCCTTTCAGATTTTGGGCACGCACATACACACACCTGGTGAGATTTTTCAAGCCATCAGGTCCAGACTTGAACTGTGATCAGCCATGTGGGAGTACAGTGCCTTTACTACCACATGACCTGCCAACCCTGAAACATGTTATTTATGATGTGGTTTTGCTCTTCTGGTTTGTAAATGAATTAATAAATATTTTTAAAATCTCTCAGTTCTACTTTTTAAGAGTATGAAGAGGCCATGACACCAAAAAGTTTGAGAAATGCTGGCCTCTAAGCAGCCATCCAGGCATCTTATAGGGGTTAGACCAACTGCCATTGACCAGGCCCTGTCAATGTTCTCCTTTCCTGCCTATTCTCAACACATGGAATCCCAAAGGGGTGAGGACAGCAGCAAGGGCAGTACAATTGTTCTCTAAAGAGGGAGATGGGGGGACCAGCAGTTGGTGTAATGGCTATGTCGCTGGACTCCCATGTAGACGACCATGGTTCAAGTCCTGGACCTGGTGGCTTAAACTCATGCAGTGCGCATGTGCGTGCATGCCCAAGATCCTGAGAGAAGAATGGAGGAGAAGGGATTGCAGCATGGCCATTCCCCTGGGGAGGGGTTGGGGGCGGTGATTCTCTCTTTCTGTCTCTCTGTCTGGTATAGCAGAAACCTCTCAAAAAAAAAATTTTTTTTAAAGAGAGAGATGAGAAAGAAACATTGGAGAATCTTCACGCTTCCTATACACATCCATATTGCCTAAAGTTTTTTTTTTTTTCACAAAGTAACCTTAATCACCTTTCTAATAATAAGAATAAATGAAAAAGACTCTCAGAAAATAAGAGAATACTGGTAGCAGGTGTTAATTTTACAACATGTCATTAATCCTAGGTCACAAAAAAGGAACACATCATGATTTTTGCATGTTTTTGAATTTATTTATTATTTTTTGCTCTTTGCTTTTCAAAGCCTCTCCACATTCAGAAGTAAGGATCAATGTTATTTCTGCCAAGAGCACAACTTTAGCTAGTTTTTAATAGTAGTGATACATTTTGTCCCTTAGCAACGTGTGTTTCCCTGGTCGCATCTCTGCAAACCATTACTGTGGATTTTAGAAATATAAGTCATACACTTCAAATGCTTCACAGACTTTTTACCTGTTCTGTTCTCTCTTTACTTTCCTTATGAATTGTTGTCTCGAATGCTAGCAATGAGAAAGAGAAAAAAAAAAGTTGTTATTTTTCCCCTCTGGTAGAATAAAATATCATATCCTGAAATAAGTAAGTAAGTATATCAAAGCCCATCTTGAACGTCAGCTGACATATTTAATCATTTTTGTTGTTGTTTTTAATTTACCCAAGGATGCTCTGAGACAGAGAAGGAGAGAAAGAAAGCAACCCCCCAATGGGATGTGGTCACGTCACAATTGCTTTTTCTCCATTTCTCCACCCTGTTAGGATCTGAGGCACACACACACCTATTGTATTTTTTGAGCCACTGGGTCTAGGATTTGAACCACCTGGTCAGCCATGCAGGATCTGGTTTGCTAAACTACTAGGCAATAAGACCGCCTGTATTTAATAATTTTATATCATCTTTTCTTTTTTTTATACAATTCATTTATGCATATTTATTTTACATGGTTTTAATCTGAAGTGTGTTTGATATTCAGCATAGCATATCCTATGGGAAAGAACATCTCCATTTTTTTTGGAGAGATTTTTGCTATAGGGCACATGTGCTTGCCAGAAAGACAGAGAGAGACAGAAAGATAGAAGGCAAGAGATCACCCCCCAGGGGGATGGCCACACCACAATCCCTTCTCCTCCATTCTCCTCTTGGGATCTTGGGCACACATGCACATGGCGCCTGGTGTGAATTTAAGACACCGGGTCCGGGACTTGAACCACGGTTGACTACATGGGAGTTCAGTGACATAGCCATTATGCTAACTGCTGGTTCCGAACGTCTCCATTTTATACATGGGTAGAGTGAGGCAATGGGCCAACAGGTAGTGGGGTCTGATTTTTCTGTAGGCTCTAGGAATGGTTTCAGGACGTTTTTTTCCACCCAAAGGTCATGAACATTTGCTGAAGAGAGAGGGAGAGAGAGAAAGAGGAAAGCCAGAAAGTACCCTCGATGGGGCATGATGAGGCTACAATAACTTCTCCTCCATTTCTACCTTCTTTCAGGATTTTGGGCATGCGTGCACACGTAACCAACCTGTTCTTCAAGCCACCAGGTCCAGGACCTGAATCAGGTGGTTGGCCATGTAACAGCTGCCTTTTTTATTGGTTTTCTTTGTTATAGAGCACGTGTGCTTGACAGGGAGAGAGAAGTGAGAAATCAGCCCTCACAGGGGAGAGCCACACTATAATAACTTCTCCTTCACTCTCTCTGGATTTTGAGCCCACACACTTCGGGTGTTTTACAAGCTACTCAAAATGTGTAGTCAGTCATGTGAGATCCAGCCACCTTAACTACGAGACCATGGGCTTATCCACATTCAGGACATTTATCCAATAAGAAAATTTGTCAGTCTGTCAGTTAATAAATATTTATTGAGCACTTCTCATAGGCTCATTTATTATACTAACTGTAGTATAGATTTCTTGGAATTTACAACTGAGTATAGAAAACTAATTTTAACAAATAATGTGAACAGTTATAACTGTGCAATTCTGAGAAGAAATAGTATAGGATAACATAGGGGCATATGATGAAGATTGCCCTGTTCTAGAGGGTCAAGGAAAGCTTCCTTGAGCATGGGAAGTTTAAGCTGAGACATAGAGTAATTTATTCATAACCAATAGTTGAGTTACAAGGGAATCGTATTAAGAACCTACCCAGTGCTAAGCACTGTTCCAGGCTCTGAGAACACTGATGTAAATATGGCATAGCCCCTACCATCAAGAAATTTACAGTACAGTAGGGAGGAGAACCCAAAAGATTATTTCAACCTGATAGCCAAGAGTAGAGACCGTGTGTGCACAGGCCAATGGGGAGGGCCAGTAGAGGAGAGGCACGGGCCTAACATCGTAGTTGAGTGAAGATTTTATGAGAATAAGCCTCCATGAGAGCAAGGTACCTGTTTCCTTATTTAACTGTGGGGCCCCAATACAGCCTGCCAAATACCTGGTGCTCAATAAATGTTTGTGGAATGAATAACACCTGAGCTAAGACTGTGTAAGAATTAGAATGGTGGCAAAGTCATTTCAGATAGAAGAGCATCAGCAAAGCTGTAGCCAACATGAGACAGCATGGCTCCTGTGACAAACAGCAAGAAGCTAGGATGGTATCAAATGACGGGAGTGGTAGAAGATGAGCAGGGTGTGGAGGAAGCAGTTGTGGAAGGCCTTTTCTTTCATGCTGGTGAATCTTTGATTCTGTAGGCAGTGGAAAAACCACCGAGACGTTTAAGCATGACATGGTCCAGTTGACAGGACATAGGAGCCCAGATGGGAATTATAGTCTGATTCCAGGTCTGAAAAGAAGGGTTAGAA